TTTTTATAATAAAAATTTTAAATCGTTATAATATCTTAATAAAAGTTTTTATTGTTATATATCGATATAATATAATATGATAAAAATGTGCTGGATTACAAGATCTCGGATTTTAAACTGCGATTACGTAACTGATTTTGGTGTTCATGCCAGGGAGGTTCATCTAACAAGCCATTTTCCACAATAAAATCTTGAAAACTCCAAAAAAATCTTATGAAAGAAGGCAAAATAATTGCCTATCTTTGAAGGGGTCTTACATCGCCAAGTGATATTAGATTTCCACATTTTTTATATTGTTTAAGTCTTTAAAGCCCTGGCAACTTATTTGTTATAAAATATTGTGTAAATAACTAAGAATTTGGGAGAAAATTTGAAAAACATGATTTCATTAATTTGTGTAATTTATGAAATTTTCATAATAAAAAATTAGATTTGACATATCGATTGACTGTTAAGTAGTCTACCCTATGATTCTACACTAGCAGCCATATCTACAATCTACTAGGAGATTATCTATTTAAGCATCCTGATCCTAACCTACATTATTTAGATATCAGCTAACCCGGGATCTGATCAACTCACAAACTAACACTTCATAGACATCTCATTTCACTGACAATTACTTACCAACAAGTTTATTTTGCTGATAGTTTATTTCACTGAAGTTCATTTTACAGACAGAGTAATTCTGATTAATATCATCAAGGTCGGTTAGAATTAGAGTTAAAGTTAGTGTAATTCATAAAAAAAAACTTGTCAGTGAAAAGAGTTTCGGTAAAATAGACTGTCAGTAAAATGAGAATAATTGTCAGTGAAATGTGGTGTCTATTAAGTGATTGTCAGTGAAATAATATGAATCCACCTAACTCTCATCATCTAGGATAGATTTTGAATTTAGTTTATGCCTTAGATAAATAAATTGTTTGATCAATTAATTCATTTTAATTATACAAAATTTTTTCATATGTTTTATTTTTAATTATCTAGTTTATATTAAATTTTGATTATGCTTACTTCACAAATAGTAATTAATTTCTTAATTTATTTTTACAGGTTTTGGCTATCAAATTCGGACACCCTTATCAAGAATGCACCCACCCTAAATAATAAAAATCAATTAGCAAGTATTTAAGAGTGGGTTCATTTTTGATAGGGGTGTCTGAAATTGATGGTCAAAACCTGTATATTATTTTTAATACTGTACTTCTACTAAAATATGCTTATAGATTTATTGTGATTATATCTATAATAAATTGTAATAAAAATTATGTGATTAACTATACTCCATTACTGGCAGATAACACAGTAACAGTATTTAAAAGAAAATCAATTAAAAGAAATTATTATTACTGATAAATTGTTTGTTTACGGTGAATCAAGATAATTATTTTGCATAATATTGTTAGTAATGGCTTTAAAAAAGGGAATGATTTCGCGAGGAGCATGGAAGTTTTGATATTCATCTAAAATCAGTATAAAAAGTCATTTCTAAATATTCCATCGAAGTTAATTCAGAACCGTTAAAAATTTAGTTCTATTCTTAAGCCCTACTATCTATTCTTTGTTAGTTACTTAAATCACTAAAAGTACATATTGCTTTCCAGAGCATTTTACATATTTCTGTACATGCCTTAGTCATATGAGATTTGTTGTCATAGATAACAAAGGCACAACATGATTTATTAATGTATTTTATATAAGCAGAATTATGTATATATCATGTGTCATTTTTTAATTTATGTCGATTATCAGTTGACGTATCGCTTTTCAAATATTTGATCTTTTATCATTGAATATTATATATATATATATATATTTCTTCAATACCTATGGATTCGCCAGTGAGGCCTTTGATTAAATATTAGAGTTTCATTAACAAAAGAATTTTATGTATTAATTTGTGTAACGAGTTAAACAACCGAACATAGAAGCCAAGAAAAAAATTTGGAAAAGGACAAATGCATTCTTTTTTTTAAAAAAAATATTAATACTGATGGTATTAATTGTTTTTTTTTCTATTAAATTCTGCCCAGATAGTGCTATATTTATTCTATGGCTGAAAAACGACCAAACCATACTCTTGCAAAATAATAACAATAATAATGATAATTTCTATTTTCAAGAAAATGTAAGTGGCATGTGCAAAAATACCTTGAACATATTTGTTTAATGCACGCATGTAATTTAATATTTAATATTTGGCAAGCGTGTAATAATTCTTTTCATTGCTTTTAATCTTTTTTTTTTTTGCATAAATTTTTGTTTATATTAATCTGTAGATGTATACCGATTTTAAAATAAATTCTGAAATACAGTATATCATTCTTTAATTATGAATGACACACATCAATTATTAGAAAACATGTATTGAAAAATGACGCATAACATATACCGGGTGTATCAAAAGTCCTTTACATAGTTCCCAGAAATAAATTTAAATAGACCCTAAAAAATATTATAATTTTTAAGCATACCGAAAATGTGTACAAGGTTGCGCTCCAGATGTCGGTTCGGATGGCTACTCCGGAATTCAAAATTTCTCAATTAATTATCAGTTATTAATAGACTTACGTACTGTACGTATGTAGTTTGTAATCTGAAAATACTTTAACGAATATGTTAATATAGAAACTTAGTTTTTTTAACAAAAAAATTTTATTTATCATAATAGATTTGTGTATTTTATTTAATGAAAAGTAAAATTTTAAAAAACTAAAAACTTAATTTTATCCAATAAATTTTTTTTATACCTGGCAGGCTCTATACAGTATGACGAATCTCTATAATGAACTTGTTTTTTTCGTACGTCAGTTCGTTATAAAAGAGTTGGTTATAATGTATGATAATAATAAAAGTAACGTTAAAGATGATTTAAAGAATTAAGAATATTTTCCTTATGAAAATTCAAATAAGTTATTTAAAGAACTTTTAGTGAATAAATAAATATCCTAGAATACAGCTTGTCTTTTATCATTTAACTTCATGTTTTGTTGCGTAATTATTGATTTAAAGAATTTAAAGTAGAATTAAATAAATAAATATAATTCTTTATTTATTTTCTTTCTTTAATGTTATGTGCAAATAAAAACATAAATAAGAGTAACTAAAGGCGCAGTGCAAAGGAAACTCGACTTTATAACATACATCATTATTATTGTCGATATTGTTGATATTAAAAGAAATCTAGCACTAGATTTGTTCCACTAAGTGTTCATCGGAACCATCACATGATCATCCGGAGCACAACTTTGTATACATTTTCGATATGCAATTTTTAATAATTATCGTATGATCGTTTAATCACCATACATATCACTAAAAAAAAAGAAGGCCCATGTACAAGGACTTTTGATACATCCGGTATATTAATTCGTGATCTGGATACCAGTTAATTACAAAGGCTGCCAGGGGGAAATCAGAATTTAGCTTATAACTTACCGATTTCAATCCTTGAAAAATCTGTATAATTGAGTTTGACAGATAATAAATTTAAAAGCTCAAAGTCTGGTTTTTCCTTAGTGTCACCAGTATCCACCTAAAGATTAAATGAAATATTAATCCATAAAACTTTAGATATGGAAAAAAGGTACTGTCGATCTTGTAATGCACAATAATTTTTGTTTCTTTCCCTCACGAACCTGTAATCGAATTAAATCAAATATTTGAAGTTTATTTATTTTATCTTTACATAAGCTATTAGATAATTATAAAAATAATTCTGCTCAATCCATTATCTTAGCCTTTTATTTATATTTTTTAAAAAGAAAAAAAAAGTTAAGGTCGATAATATTAATATAATGTTAAACATAATCGACTGATAGCTTAATCTCAAAAGGGTCCAAATAAATAATCTAAATTAGAAGCAATGGAGGAAGAAGAAGAGGGAGAAAAAGAGAAAGAGAAAGAATTGTTTGGTAAAGAAACTGTGTCACTATAGTTAACGGGCATGACGTTATTTGTCATAATGCAATTGGTATCAATGTGTACTTGATTGGGAAAGAAATCACTTTGGATTGGTTGAAGTTCTTCGCCATAGTTAAAATATGGAGGAATGAATTTGCTAAATTGAATTTCATTTGAATTAAATGTGTGATCCTGTTCGATATTTACAGTTTCATTAAAGTTACTTTCAAAACCATTTGATTTATTGGTCGTTTTTGGTCCTCGTTTTTTAACCGATTTAACATAAACGCACTTAAGCCCATGGGATATACAATATGTGCAAGTAACTTCTTCAGAACACTTCGCGTGTTTTCGTCGGCAATTAGTACATGCTGTAGTTGCGTAAGGACCTCGTAGTTGTCCACTTGAATGAGGCATGATAACCAATTTGTTTTACGAATAAATATTAGAGGAATAGATAATAAATAAATTTGAGCATAAACAAACGCTAACGATAATCAAAAATATTGCTCTTATAGTTATGATCAAAAATGATTCACTGAATATAATGGAAAGAAGTAAAGCATTAAAATATGATAAAGACACGATTAACTTCGTATTTATAAAAAAAATTAGTTTGTCATTAAGAAACTGTCGGTGTGTTTAGATATCAAAATTTAGACATTGTTACCAAATTTGGCTGTTAAAGATTTACCACCCCAAATATGTACTTTTTGGGGGACTCCTAAAGCGGTGTAGATTCTTATAATATATATTTTATTAAATTAACTTTGGGTTAGGGTTATCTTAGATTAAGGTTAGAGCAGGTTTTAAATAATTATATGTGCAAAATTGCCCTCCCGTCATTTTTACTTAGCCTACCCAAAGTAGGTTTAGACTGTTGTTTTTTGTATTTTTCGAGTATTTCGCTTTTCTTTCTTGTTTTGCTTCGCCGCGATCGTCAAAATTCTATAATTTGATTGGTCACATATCACGTGATTCTGCACCGCTTTAGACGACCCTTTTTTGGTAATCGATTTGCTAGAAAACGGTGTAATTTTGAATACCTATTTAAGGCTAAATGAATTTTTGATAATGATATCAAGATGCCAGTGCAGCAGTGTGTAAAAAAAAGTCTTTGGACAAATATCACGTGTATAATTCGATCTACATACCTTTTTCTTCTTTAGTAAACGTTAAAATGCTAATCAAAGGAATGCATATTGATTATCCAACTAATTTTTTTTGTAGTACTTTGAACTTCGCTGTACGCAATTTTTTTTTATAATCGATCAAAAGTGTATACAATCAAGATATATACAAAAACGCTATTCTGACAACTAAGAGATGTAAAAATTCAAGGCCCAAAGGAAATGTAGCAACTAGCCAGCCCCTCAAAGTCTTCGATACAACAACATTTCCAAACTAAAAAAAAAACGGAATGTAGTTTACCAGAAGCGCAGGAGGCACCCCAAAGAATGCAATCTGGAATCTTTAGAATCTTGGTCTGGTAGATCACTCTAAGATTAATAAGAGTGTCGGTTGCCAATTTTTTTTTAATAAAAGTAGGTCAGGTTTATCTAATAGGTTCACGAACTATTAAGCCAGTTTGAGCTATAAAAAACGCAGTGTAGAAGCGATACCAAGGCTTGTTGAAGGGTACGTTTGAAGGCATATTAAATTGGCAAAAAAAAAAATAATTACTTGGTTTTCTTTGCTAATACGTTGGTTTTCTAATCGATCAATCATTCAGAAATATTGTATAGCATTCATATTAAAGCAAAATGGTCGGTATGATAGAGTTCAAAAGGAAACAATAAATTTTACCCGGTGGGTATTTATTAGAAGGTGAATTATTTCTTTTTTCTTTTTAAAAAATACTAACTAGCCTATTTGTATTTGAAATTTTTTTTAAAAAAATGCCTAATAGAAACTTGAAGAAGGTCAGGCGACATTGGGTTATTTCAATATGATAGCGATTTCAAGTGCATGGATCATGTAAGTGAAGCATCCTTCAACAAAAAAATGTCCTAAAGTAATTGCTTGGC